GGGAAGCTTGATAGGGAGTTGGGGTCTGGTGCGGGTTTTAGCGGGCATTTATTAGATCAGATCTAGCAGATCCCTATGTCGGGGGACGGTTCAGGTAGCATGAGGTGGAGACTTACATCATCGGGTGTGTTTTCTACTACCTCGGCTTGGAGAGCAGATCAGGCTGAGGGATCAGCCTAATCTCCTCTTTGGGGCCATCTGGAGTGACCTTTTCACCCCTACTATTTCGGTGTTCCTTTGGCGCCTCCTCTTGCGCCGGATACCCGTCGATACTGTGCTACACGCGAGGGGGATCTCCTTCCCCTCTCGGTGTATGTGTTGTTCTGAGACTGGACGCCATGAGACCGAGACCTTTACCCACCTTTTTCTAGAGAGTGAGATTGTGAGGAGAGTGTGAGAGCATTTTGCCACTTGGACACATATATCCCTACCCACCACATACAGTTTCTTTGAGCTTCTGAGTTTTTTCTCACAGAGCACACACCATAGACACGTGAGCTTCCTCATTCCTTGTCTGATCCTTTGGTTCACCTGGACAGAAAGGAATAGTGCGAAGCATAGGGATATTACTTTTATATTTTCTCACATTGTTTTGCAGGTAGAGAGACACATTTCACTCCTCATCGCATTGGGCAGGCTCACGGCCCGAGACTGGACAGGCTGCACGCCACCACATTGCTACATGGTGGCCCCACCACCGCCTGTTCGGCACCCTCGGCCCAGAGCTGTTGTTTGGCTTCGACCTGACTCTCCGTGGGTCAAGCTGAACACTAATGGCTCCTTTGATCGCCACACTGGAGTTGCCGGAGGAGGAGGCTTGATCCGGGACCATAGCGGCGCCCTCATCATCGCCTTCCACGCGTCCCTTCAGGCCTCCTCGAGCTATGATTCAGAGATTCAGGCATTACAGATCGGCCTCCAGATTGCTGTCCACCTCTCTAGCCACATTTGGATCGAGCTAGACGCTGCGGCTGTAGCCACCCTTTTGACCTCGGGCCACCAGGGCTCGTGGCAGATTCAGCACCCGCTTATGCGTATTAGAGCTCTACTTCGGTCTGTCCATCACAGGATCACGCACATTTTCCGTGAGGGGAACAGACCTTCCGACTATCTGGCCAGCCTTGGCGCCACCATACCAGACACACATACATTTCAGACCGACACTGCTCCACTCCGCCTTCGCACTTTTGTACGGATGGACCAGCTAGGATATCCAGCGTTCCGCTTTCAGTAGTTTAGGATTTTTGCTTTCATTAGTCTAGACATTTACTTCGGGCATCAGTTAGCCTGAAGATCGACTCTGTTTTGTAGTTTCTGTTTCTTTTTCGTTCTTCAGTTTTTCTTTTTGTTTCTTGTTTTTTATTTTGGTTAGTGAGATTCTGTAGACTATTGTATCTTGCTCGTTGATATTTTGGGCCCCCGATTTTGGGGCCCTGATCTATGCACAGGTTGGGGATCCAGCCCAATCCCCCACCCTGATATTTGAAGCTAGGAAGAAATGAAGAAGCATGAAAACCGGGCTTTGACCATGTCTCCCGAACAATCTCAGTACAATAACTAACCTAGCAACAAAAGACAACTAACCTAGCAGCATCAGACAACTAACCTAGCAACAAGAAAGAACTAACCTAGCAACAAAAGACAATTAACCTAGCAGCATCAGACAACTAACCTAGCAGCAAGAAAGAACTAATCTAGCAACTTAAGACAACTAACCTAGCAGCAAGAAAGAAATAATCTAGCAACAAAAGACAACTAACCTAGCAGCATCAGACAACTAACCTAGCAGCAAGAAAGAACTAACCTAGCAACAAAAGACAACTAACCTAGCAGCAAGAAAAAAATAACCTAGCAACTTAAGACAACTAATCTAGCAACAAAACTCAACTAACCTAGCAGTTACAAATAACTAACCTAGCAACAACAAACAATTAACCTAGCAACAAAACACAACTAATCTAGCAAGAAAGAAATAACATAACAAAAGACAAATGGTCAACGGTCAACATCGAAAGTCAACGCCGTAGTCAACGGTCCACGCCGGAGTCAACGGTTAATGGTCATAATAATATGTAAATAATTAAAAATAAAGAATTATTATTTAAATCAAGATCTAAATCTTGTGGTTAGGAATAAGTCTCACGTCCTCACTTTAAATAATGGGATGCATTTGAACCAATCCCTATATATATATATATATATATATATATATATATATATA